ATTGCTTACCTGGATTTGTTGACTAGCGCTCATGCAATTGGAAAACTCAAGAATATATAAGCTCGTTGGGGTATTCCAGAGGAATTGGTAACCGACAACGGCACCAAGTTTACGTCAGACTCTTTCAAGAAGTTTGCAGCTAAGTATGGATTCGCGCATACATACGAATACCAGTCCTCACTATCCACAAGCAAAAGGCGGGAGCGCAGTCAAAACCGCGAAACGCATATTACAGCAGGATGACGTCTTTGTTGCGCTTATGGCATACCGCTCAACACCCATTTAGACATCAGATCTAGAGTCAGTCGAGCAAAACTGATCATGGGACGCAGAATTCGAACCGTTGTTCCAGTCAAACCATCTTCACTGGTACCAAAGTGGCCAGACTTTGACCAGGTGAGGAGACATGACGTACGAAGAAAACTACGAAGTTTCAGTATGATAAACAATTTGGGGTTAGGAAACTCCATCAACTTGGATCAGGGGACCAAGTTCGTATTCAGACTGACAAAGAGAAACAGTGGACAGATAGCGGCACGATCACCACTGGAAATTACAGAACTTGATCATACTTATTTAGGAGAAATCGAAGGCATTTGCAACATACTGGATACGTGAATACTGAATTGTCATATTCGGCAAGTGGATGGTATCTGCTAACAGACAGTAAGTCAAGTGTCGTTTCATCTGATGTTGAACCGCCCTCAGAGCAACCTAGCCAGGAAGTTACATCACTTCGGTGGCAGGGGATAGTTTCGTACTAAAGAGCCGTTCAAATTTCATAAAAAAACTGAGATATCCCCTGTTTGATGTGATATTTTATGTAGAAAAATGATTAGAATAATTATGGGACACATTTGCAGTGTAGCAGAGTGCTTGCTGAAAAAAATGATGTGCAACATGTAGGTGTCACTATGACGCTTATCATATACAGAGTTGTAAATGCGAAACTAAGACACGTGGTCAGTTGCAGAGGAAATTCAGCTGAAAAGCAGTAGGCCTTAGAAGAAGGTGTGTATCTCAGAAGGAAGGTGAATGGCCCCATATCAATTGGTGAATTTTCATTATGGCATGCATTGATTTACAGACTACTGGGTGTTTTATCCTGCTCGCTCGGGCCTGGGGGTGGGTTGTATGGGTGCGAGTGAGGCCCAAATCTTGGAAAAACAAGCCAAAATTTGGGGAGTCCCAGGTGCATTTTTGGTACATGTGCACTCTAATAGGCAGATTACATGTAATTTGTTGATATAATTTGTGAGCCATGGGCATATGAAGTGTAATTAATTAGCCCCTGGAACACTGTCCCCATGTACATGTTTTTATGGATGGCATGTATATGTGTACCCCCTCGGCACATGTTTGGCATTAAAAAAAAAAAAAAAAAAACTATCCTCTGCCACCTTCCCAGGAAGTCCAATATCGTAACTCGTTCTGGTCGCGTCGTTAACAAACCCATCAGATTCACAGACTACGAATGAATTTGTGAACTCTTTGTGTTATAACATTTGGATTTGTATGTAGCAAGCAATGCATGCAAGATGAGATTTGTAAATGTTCTTATGAGTTAAATGCTTATGTTTCTATTCTAGTCATTTGTCTTGAAATCCTTGTCATATATTTTCAGAAGGGAGATGTTTAATAAATGTGTTCTTGTATGAACCATCTAGTTTATGTGTGACCTTTTTATGGACGAGTTAACGTGAACCTTTTATGTGTAGTTTTAGCGCCATATTAAATAAACGTGTGTTTGAACTAAGGGTTATATTCATCGAAACAAGCCATCTAAACAACACCTAAATAAAAATCAATCCTTTGTATACTATCAATAATTATCACTCCAGACACAAAAGTAAAAGGCTGTTTAAATCAGAGGTTAAGTTTGTCCAGTGGGTCATTTCTGCTGCAGTGTGGAGATCTTATCTTCTGCATTAGACTTTACACATATTGAGATCCGGAAGAACAGTACACACTGTGATAATCAGTCACGTGCGCATAAGCAGGTAAACATTACAGCTAGATGTTGTCTTTACATCAATTGTCTGTATGAATCTGATAAATTTTTGTTCTTTGTATATACCAACATTCATTTAAATGTATGTCTGATTATTAATCCTCTTCTTATGGGACTATAATATTGTCTAAGAATAATATTATAGTTACATGTTAATGCATGGTCATAATCACCAAGAATAAACTTTAGCCTTTCCCTACATACTGATGTAAATGACGTATCTAAGCTATTTTAGGAGCGAATTTCCTGTCTTGAAATTAGAATACAGGCAATATTTTCTTATTCGCAATACCTGTTAATCCATTTTCTTACATAATTATTTAGGCTTGTTGTTGATCGACATTTTACATTGCATTTTTTAAGATTTGCATCCTGCTTAATTTGTTTCCTAGAATTGTAATTTCAACCTTTCTACCATTTTCACAACATACTGCATTCAATCGAGGATTCCATTTTGGCGGCTGTTTGTTTATTGTATTTTCATATTAATACGCCCCTGGCCCGCTACTGTGAGGAGCTGATTGAATCAACTCCTAAAAATAATTTCCCAAAAAAATGGCGTGAAACTCCTCAGATAGAATACCCGATTTCGCCAACAAAATACTAACAAATCATTACTAATAATACTAATAAATTCTAAATTATACTTTCTATTCATATCTCATATAAATATACTACATTACTATGAATATTCATTTCGAATTCCGTACATTTTCCGAGATATGCTGAAATCAATTCCAAATTAATTTGATCTATTTCGCTTTACCCGAAATTAGCTTGGGCCCATTGGTCATTCACATGCATACATGTACAAAAGGCTGCAGCGAACAGTTGCATAGTATATGCGTAATAATATATCAATAATATTGATTGATTCACTCAGTGTCTCTAATAATTCCTTTAGTCTAGGGTAAAAACATTACAAAACTACTGCTTTACAGCCATGTTGTTTATTAATGTTAAAAGAGCTACGATTGAAAGAGATTTTCCAGGAGTGTACGTACTACATGTATATACGTAAGTACTATATACTTACGAAAGTTTTAAAAATTAAATCGTTAAATATTTTGTTGCATTGGTAACTTGGAAAGACTATATGATCAAATAAGATTATGTTATGTTATAGGGACTGAGTGCTAATGTGTATGTAAGGAAATGTTCAGAACGTATAGAATAAATTCTAGTAAAAATTCGTTCCATCCTTACAATTGAGGCTGAAGCTTATTTTGAGCAAGGAAAAATAGGTCAATTTTGGAATCGATTTCAACATATCTTAGGAAGTGTACGGAATTTCGGAATGAAATTTTGTAGTAATGTAGTTTTTTTTATATGTGAAGCATAATCTTGTTTATTAATACATGTATTTTATTGGCAAAAGCGGGTATCCTATCTGAGGAGTTCCACACCTTTATTTTTTTTTATATCCCAAGATTTTTCAGTCGGAATGAAGCGGTTTAAACGTCTGTGTCTCAGGTTAACATCATGACCCAAAGGTTTGAATTCATATACATGTATTAGATTAGAACGTCTATTATCTTCGTCAAAGATATGTAATTTTCAGTATTTTACAATTGGTACTCAGTTTTTGACTTCGATAATAGATGAATATCCTCCTTATAAATGGTGCTAGCGATGGGTATTTCTATCACGCACAATTGTTTGTTACCCCCCCCCCCCCCCCAACGAACCACACCCCAAAAGTCATAAACCAGATTGTAAGACAAAGTGATATCCTTAATTTTTACCCGAGAATTTAGACTGATGTTAAAGCAGACTGGCATATAAAACCGAAGGAACACAAACATGCTAGAAACATTTTCAACAAAACTGTTAAACAGACTTGTATATCATTTATATATTCATGTACATGTATCCTACCGTACAAGTACTTTGTAAAAATGTGGTGATATTAATTGTTGAAAAAGGAAGGAAGTGACAGGAGGAGTCGAACAAATTTTATCCACAAATAGGATTATAGTGACACTAAGGTTACAAGTAATGTTAATATGAACAATACCAGCTCATTTAAGGCTACAAAAAGGAGGCGGGGCCTTATTTATACAGGAAATGTTAACTAAGACATCACACAAATCTAACGATTCTTTAAATTGCAACAAATGAAATGATTTGCAATTTTTAACTCTGTAAAATAAACTACATTAAATTTTACTTTAAAATGCTGTTTTGTAGTTAGTTAAATCCCACATATCTAGGTACATGTATAAATAAGTCACTGATCGCGATGCACGTCAATGTGACGCCATTTCGTAAAACTTGACGCAGTTTGCATGCAGCGAGAGGCGGATCACGTAAAATTTTCACAGCGAAAAATGTATTTTATAATTGATACAATATTATTTGCAGATTTTTAAGAGGGCATTAACTTGGATGCAATGTCTTTTTTATGATTTTATTCATATATTTTCAGTACATGTCCTAGTTAACTGATACTGTCGTACATGTATATTTGTATGTAGGTATATTGATCAGAGGATAATGTAAGGGTCTTAATAAATCGTTCTAGTGCAAGGGCATACACTCAATGGATCATAGTAAGCTTGTACACATAAACGCTAGAGATGTTAAGGTATTTAAAAATGCTGCGATCCTGGTGAAATCTTGAAAATGAATCAATTATTGCTATATTTAATGTAGTTGGCAAAAAAATCAGGTGACTGCCACATCACGTGACAAGTCTAAATAGAAAATCAAATCGTCCACAATATTTAGTTAATATAACCATATTTACATTTGTCCGGTATTAATTTAGTAATAAAAAAGAATCGCCGTTCTAATTAAGAATATATTTTTTATCACAAAAAATCGCCGATATTTAAATTGGGCATTTGAACTGTACTGCGTAGGATACATTCTGCACATTTTGTTGTGTATGACAAAAAAAAAAAAGAGTTATCTATGCAAGAATTGGGTACAGAACAATAATTATAATTTAAAAAAAAAAACTATTAAAATTCATTTAATTTTATAGGCAAAAGAAATGGGTTTCGATGTTGGACAAAAGGAATAACATTCTTCTGTTTTGTTCTTCTTTTACAGGTAAGTAGTTTAAAAAATCTTTTTCTCGGTGAATTTTGTCATATTGTGTTTATATCCTTTCTCTCTGCTTTTGTCATACTTCGGAATCATATCTTACACATTATCAAACCTTTGGTTCCAAAGGTTGTCTAAGCCGAGGGTGGCAATGGGGATAAGCTCCTATTACCTATGAAATGCTTCTCACGGCGTGCGCCTCTAAAAGCCTGCTCGTGTAAATTGCATCAAGCCCGGCGGAACTGCTACTACTGATAGAAGAAGGGGTGCAGGCGAGGTACCTGGCGCCTGAAAACCAGTACTTACGAGGGTACGTTAAGGCAGTACACAGATCATATTTCGGCGAATTTAGACTTTTTTCGTAAAATGTAACATTGATAAATCGAAAAAGCCATAGATAAAACATTTACTATTATTATCCATTGTATAGACGTCATTGAGTCTTAGGCTAAAAGAAGCACTCCACTACGACGTCATCACTTGACGTCTATAAATAGAAAAATTGCCTTAATTAAAAAGTGAAAAGTTTAACACTACCCCGGGGATAATTCATTTCTTTTTGTGAAAATAATCATGTAAAAACATCACTGGACCATGAAAAGTGCTGCTAGAATCCTACTCTCCAAACACAGAAAAAAATATTCCAAAGTTTCGCATGAAACCTTACCAATTTTTTTTATATTCTATACCTACGATCAAGGAATTGTCATCAATTTATGCTAACCACACGATTTTAGCAGCACTTTCCAAGTACTACAGAATACTAGTTTTCGATACAAACAAAAATTATGTCACACAGTATGCGGCGTAGTGTTGAAATTTTGCATCTTTGTTGTTATAGAGCGACAGAAGAAAGGCTGATCGGGATTTCAAAGCACTGCCTGTGTTCATTACAAGAAAACATGATAAGAATATATCAGCGTACCTGATTCATAATCTTTAATTCCTTATGAATCACACATAACATCCACGGTATATGCTTTAAAACTCCCATTTCATATATTTGTTTACATGAATTCTCGTCACGTTTCATTTTCACTCTGCAAATATTTGATCAATAGTTGTGACGTCATGGGTTTGGTATTTAACCCCCGTGATAGATACTTAGCTATTTATACCACCCAAAAACGACAAGATTTAGTTTATATTATGTTTTTGAATGATTCCATTCATTTCTTGGACCTGAAATTAAACTTTGGATATAGATATTAAGAAATCATTTTTTGTGAAGATCACGTCATACAGCTTACTATGACGTCATATTGTAAAGGCAAGTAGGATATCTCTGGGTGTAGCCTTAACATACCCGCGTAGTGTAGATTGGGCTCATCAGTCTTTGAGGACAACTCATCTAAGAGAAGGAAAACTCTGATTCAAAACCTCCGCTGCCTTGCGACCATATCCATTCATGGGAAAAGGCTAGGTTAAGGAAACAACGCATGGGCGGACTGCATGTGCTCAATATCCGGGGATGGAAAGAAGTCTAGGAAAGAAACTCCAAAATCAAATCACCTCTCCTCGAGATTATTAGAGGTTTGCGTAGGGCCAACAACCCTGAAAGCTAAGTTACAGAAGCATCAACGACAGACCAAAACCAACATAACCTGGGCCAGATTGGGCCTATTTCAAGGGGAACTATGATCGTGTGCAATGAAAGTCGAAAAGAAGCTGCAGGGCTCCCCCTCTTTCTGAAACCCAGGAAAACCATCAGACCCGCTACCTGGAAAATCAGAATAATGTATGGAGCAGGAAGAACGGCGCAGGTAGCAAAGGATATGAAGCACTAAAACATTTGTCTCCTAGGACTGAGTGAGACGAGGTGGCTACAGACAGGACAGCTGAGGCTGACCACCGGTGAAACAATGTTGTATTCAGGACACAACGCGGAGGGAGCCCCCCTCCTCCCCCCCCCCCCCCCACACACACACACCGAAGGTGTATGCCTGATGTTATCCCTGGACGCACAACGCGCTTTTGTCAGATGGGAACCTGTCAACTCCCTGATAATAACATCTGAGTTCAACACCAAGAAAGGCAAGATCAAACTGAACATCATCCAGTGTTATGCCCCCACCAATGATGCTGATGACGGAAAGAAAGACACCTTTTACCATCAGCTACAGGCAATTGGATAAAACAGGGAAGAAGTATACTCATGGGCGACTTCAATGCAAAGACTTAATCTGACAACACCGGCTACAATAAAGTCATAGGCACACATGGAATGGGTTACATGAATGATAATGGCGAGAGATTTGCAGACCTATGCTCCCTTAATCAGCTTGTAATAGGAGGAAGCGTCTTCCCTCATAAACGGATTCACAAGGCCTCATGGAGATCCCCTGACCATGTTACGGAGAATCAGATCAACCGTATTTGCATCAACAAGAAATTCGAAGAGCATGGAAAGATGTCAGGGTGATGAGCAGATATTTCATCAGACCACCATCTTCTGATGACGACATTAAGACTACGCCTCAATAAGTTTAACAACATGACAAACACGAGGACAAGATACAATGTGAATGTCCTCAAATCAAAGGAAGTGAGGACAGCATTCCAGCGTAGCCTGCCCAACAGATTCCACAAGGAACAAAGAAGCTCTCAAACAAGTTCTAGCGGACAGCCAAGAGGGTGAAGGACAAGACTAGCAACCCTCTCACAGCAACAGAAGAACAATTGAATAATTGATTGATTGAATGTTGTTTTACGTCCCGTTCGAGATTTTTTCACGCATATAGAGACGTCACCATATACCGGTGAAGGGCTTCAAATTTAGACCTTTACTTGGCACTCATGGTCATTGAGCAGTGAGGGATCTTTATCATGCCAACGCCTGCCGTGACACGGGGCCTCTGTTTTTAAGGTCTCATCCGAAAGACCCGCAACTTTCAATTCAAAATACCGAGCGCTTGACGAAGGAACAGTTGCAACCTATGTTTTATCGACTTAGGTCAGTCGTGGCCGTGATTCGAACACATGACCTTCCGATCACGGAGCGAGCGCTCTATCGACTGAGCTACCGTGACGGTGTAACAACAATTGAAGAGATGGGTAGAACACTTTGGAGAGCTATTAAATAGACCAATACCAGAAACACATCCAGACATACAGCCAGCCGATACAGACCTCCCGATCGACTGCGAAAAGCCAACAAAGACAGATCAGGGGAGCAATTACCACACTTAGGAATGGAAAAGCGGCAGGGCCTGACGAAATACCAGCAGAAACCATCAAATCTGATACAGAGACAGCTGTTGACATCCTTTACAACCTCTTCAAGAAGATCTGAGAGGAAGAAAACATTCAGGAGGAATGGAAAGAAAGCATTCTTATCAAGCTGTCAAATAAGGGAGATCTGAGGGAATGCGGTAACTACCGGGGAATCAATGGTCTTCAACAGGATCCATCTCGAGATGATGAAAGAGGCAGTGGACCCAAAGCTTTGTGACCAGCAGGCTGGTTTTAGACGCAACAGATCATGTGCTGACCCGATAGCCAATCTGCGCATCATCATTGAACAATCACTGGATCCGGAATGGAAGCCCCCCCCATATCAATATATCAACTTCATCGACAATGAGAAAGCATTCGACAGCGTGGACCGAAAGACACTATGGAAGACACTGAGGCACAATGGAGCACCTGAGAAGCTTGTGTCCTGATTCGTAACACCTACCAAGGCATGACATGCACAGTTGTCTATGCTGGCCAGATGTCTGAGAGTTTCGAGGTCAAGACAGGAGTTCGACAAGGATGTTTGCTGTCACCATTCCTCTTCCTCTTGGTCATTGAATGGATCATGAGGACTATCACATAAGGCAGGAACAATGGTATACAGTGGACACTCCTGACGGAACTCGACGATCTCGACTTTGCCGATGACCTGGCTCTCCCTTCACACAACCACAGTAAGATGCAGAACAAAACAACTCGCCTTGATACAATGTCAGCAAAAACTGGACTCAAGATCAACTTGAAGAAAACAGAATTGATGAAGATCAACAAAACTGCCCAATTACCAGACACAGCTGGTGGCGAGCCAATCAAAGAAGTTGAGTCCTTCATCTACCTGGCGAGGTTGGAGGACAGACAGGGTGGCACAGACCGTGACATAAAGTCAAGAATTAGCAATGCAAGAGCAGCATTTACCATGCTAAAGAACATCTGGGCCTCAAAGAACATCCGTATTACTACCAAACTCCGGATCCTAAACTCGAATGTTAAGGCCGTCTAACTGTATGGAGCAGAGACATGGAGAATGACCAAAACAACCCTGCAGAAGATCCAGACATTTTACAACACTTGTCTCAGGCGCATCTTCAACGTCCGATGGCCTGAAAAGGTAACAAATGAAGAACTATGGAAGAAAACAAGACAGGAATCTTTAGATGTGCAAATAATACGAAGGAAATGGGACTGGATTGGACACACTCTAAGGAAGTCACCATCCAGCATGACACAGCAGTCCCTGATATGGAACCCACAGGGCAAGTGAAAGAGGAGGCGTCTAAGAAACACCTTGAGGCGTTACTCAAAGGCACAGCTTAAAGCACAGTACATGACCTGGAACAACGCAGCAAAAGCAGCCCAAAATCATGTTCGCTGGGGTCTGTCTTTGATGGTCTATGTTCCTCACGGAACGACAGGCCTTAATAAGTAAGTAAGTATCAAACCTTGTCAGTTTATTAATCTTGGAGAGAAGTCGATTTTTGCAACTTCAAAAGTGTACTCATACACCTAGCCTGCATTTTAGCACCTGAGCCATTCACTTGACGTGTTTCTATTCGTTCCCACCCACTATATATGCTTCAAATTAAAAAAAAAAATGTTTTCAGCGTTTTGTCTGAAATAGCAGAGCCAAATTTAACCAGTTTTTGATTTTAGAATCATAGAGGTACATACATTGTAAGGTTTGTTCCCAGCCACCCCTTTACTCTTACTAATTATGCAAATTCATGCAACCCATAAATATCTTTTTCTATATTCTTTGGTGTCTAGGAGAG